AGGCATTGTACATCAATGGCAATTATACATATCAAGATCTTCATGATCATCTGAAGGCGGTGAGATGGAAACAAAATCAATACAACATTTTTTTTCTTATTGCCTCCTTAACAATACTTAATGCCATTCATCTCATCGATGCTCGATTAAATGCTTCTGATATTTCGCGGAAATGCCGCTTGCTTGCATCAATCAATTTAAAATTGCATAAATTGACTTTTTGGATTTTGATTAATGTCATAGACTGATTTAATGATTCCATGTATCATGGGGATTTAAGTTTGAGAGTCATGTAACGACTTTAAATGGAGTGTTGTTGAAATTGATTAAGTTTGGTCATTCAGTTGATTTTCAGGCCTTAAATCATTGAAGTTCTTATTAACACAAGCGGTAAATAATAAATTCACAAAGGATATCCTTAAAGTGAAATTAACATATCATCCATCCGTAAATTGAAGAGCAAATTGACTCTCGATTATCAAAATATTGCAGTCTATACCAAAAAATTAACAAACATGATCCACATCGTAATTCATTCTACTTGGTGTAGCAATTATCACAATTTTCAGTCACGAGCTTTTTACGACAAAAGTCATTTGACCATAACGAAATCTGTGACTGCTATTCTGTAAACAAATTATTCACTAAATGCCCAAATCAAGCAAAGTTGAAATGCTAACAGTGGCAATTATCAATCAACCGTTAAATTCGATAATTATCAGTGGCTCTATGTGAAAATTAGCGAAATCAACAGCATCAGACTCGCTAAAATTGCATCAACAAATTGGACAATTTGCGCATGTAACTGTATATGCAGCACATAAAAAATCGCCATTAAAGACATTGCGAAAAATTTCAAAATTTAAAATTCAAATGAGAGACGCATTTATTGTCACACTTAAAGCATCTCTGCAGCCTCACATTGGACATTAAATTGGAGTCATTTGAAAGTCATAATATGCAAGAAGTAACAAAAAGAAGGCAAACTGTCAATGAACTCGCGGTAAGTATTAACATATTGTAAATATTTTTACACAGATGCAGGCATTGAGGATTATTTTGACTGCGTAAATTGTATGAAGAAGTTGGGAGTTGATGTATATGACTTTAGTTGAGTTTTTGGATAGATCTTGAGTCACAGACACAGGATGAATGATGGATATGAAGAAGATATTGCTAATGAGCTTATATTTGAGAAGGTAGGCCTAAGCATTGGTCTAATGTTATGGTGACCAGATGTTTTTTAAAAAAGTAGAGGGCATATAAGTAGAATAGAGGAAATCCCACTTTTCTTCCAATTTTATTCGTTTTTTTGGACGAATTAGAACAAAATAATACAAAATAAAGGACTGTTCTCTGAAATACCAAGCAGATGACCATCTGATGGTGAAAATAGAAGCTAGTTTATGATAAATAGCCAAAGTAAAGGTTAGTTTTAAGCAGTTAAGTGCCTTGCTGGTCGAATAGGTAAGGCGCTTGGCTCAAATTTGGTATGGTAACTCGAAGGTCGTCGGTTCGAATCCAGCCATTTTCCAAATTTGTTCTTTTTCGGAAGTTTAGATACTTCGACTGCTTAATGTACGAGATCAAGCCATAATTGGGCATTTGGGCAACGTTGGATTAAGGAACGGGTCAGGAACTTGAAGTGTAGCGGGAGAAATAGGAACGAGAGCTACAAGATTACCCACGAATGGAATATTGTTAGAACGGACCTGAAAAGTATCACGTCACGCCTACAGAAGATCGAAACGAGAGCCTTAGTTTATTTGAAACCTAGATTTGAAGATTAGAAGTTTGATCCTACATAATATTAATTCATATGTATACAAATACTAAAGTGTAAAATGTGAATTATTACCGGACAGTATGTCGTCAATAAATGCAATTAAGTGCAATTAAAATGAAAAAAAAAGTTCACTGATCAAGCTATTCAAAGCCAACCCTAGTTCGAATCCTATCATACTATCATCTTACATTGTGAATAACATTTAACTTGTGAGCTTTAGGATTAATCCGTAAAAGTATGTCCATTAAAATGTACAGCACCTTTTGCAAATCAAAAGAATTAGAAATTTTAATTCCGTTCGAAAAAGAATCGAAGCGCACGCCGAGCCAATGTTATTATTATTATGTTTGAAAGATGAAAGAACTAAATGGTGCGCAGCAGAGCTCAACTCAATTTAAAGAGAATATTGCATAATTTGATGCTGTTTTTCACTATTACTGTTCATTTCATCGCCATCCATTCTAATGCTATACATTTTCTTTCTTTTCTCCTATTTGATGTAATTTTTTTCCAATTCGATTATCGCTCGCGAGCAACACACATTCTTCTGATTGAATTGAGAATTATGAAAGAATAAGAAATGCCGTTTCTAGTAGGAAAACTACTCAGCATGTATGCACGTGTGTAAGATGTTTTTTTATTATTGCGGAAAGTGAGATGATGGCTGGAATAAAGAATTCTATTCATTCAATAAATTCACTTTAGTGTCTCTATAAGAAAAGAAATTCTTCATTCTACCATTTTTACTCTATATATAGTCAGGCAGAGATTATGCCACGAGCTCATCGCATTAATTTAATTTAAGTTGTAGCATGAAACGTAAACATAGCGCGAAAATAAAATATTCTTGTTACTGCGGGCGCTATTGAGCTATTTTTCGCTAAGTATCTACTCGTGGGCTTATGAACGAAACAATTTACTGTAATTTAAAAAAAGGTAATTTTTTGCATAATTACTTCCTTCTCTTTAATAAATTGAAACTATTTTAACTGCCATCATTTTTATGAGATATAAATTATTATTTCTTAATAAAAATTGCTCTCATTTTACACGTTAAAATGATCATCTGGAATTTGCTATTAATCAAAATATTTAGATGGAATTCTATTACTGTAGTAAAGTGCTGGAATTTTGATTGGATGAGCATTCTTCGCACTTGGAATTCTTAGAATTTATTGCATTTTTAGAAACAATTGAGTTTTATTTGCCAAGTTATTTTTAAATTAATTTGAATTTTTAACGATCAGAAATAATTTGAATTTTTATTTGTTCAACACATCCATTTCTGGTATTTTTGCTAAAACTAATAATTTTCTATGAATAATAAAACAATCAATATTAAATCTAAAAGCCATAAAAACAAATTTCAAACCTTCAAAAATTTAACGGTTTTTCCAAATTCAAACCAAATTGCAACCCTCATCAATACAACAATGAGAAAAAATTTACCATATTTGAAAATGTTTTGCAATTTTATTAAAATTTAAAGACACATTCATGCCAAATATAGTCCCAAATGCATCAACAAAATGGCAAGACCTCATTCGAACAAATTTAGAAGAATTTAAATCACTTGATTTATGAGATTTTTTTTGCCATCACCTTTTCATCAACAACAAGCATGTGAAGATTGAATAAAAGCCACATGTTTTGTTAGATACATTCACTTAAAAGATCATCGTTTATGTCCATCATCATTATCATTAGAAATGAGCTAAGTTTTGTGCGAAAATATTTGTTAATAAAAAAAGAGAGAGAATTTACAGCTATTATCATTAATATAAATTCATGGACCATATTCTTCTTCTCATGATGATGCTAGTTGGTTGATTAAATAGCTCTTGTAAACCAGAACAACAAACGAAAAGAAAAAAAAAATATAAACAATAATAAAAATACATCATTAATGATGAAAGTTAAATAAGAGATTTTAAATGCTAGTGGAAGTGAAGAAGAGACAATTTAGTGATACAATAATAATTTTTCAACAAAAGTGTCGGTGCTTATGGTGTTAAAATAACAATTGAACATTCAAATAAAGTAGATTGAGCAATACAATGCTCGAGAAGCTTAAAAGTTTTCTTCTTTTCTTTACAGTTATGTTTTAGAATTGTTTTTTTCTTTCTTTCTTTCGAGATCAAAGAATTTGAAATGCAAATTATGGGGGACTTGAAAATAAAAATATATGTAGTGTAATGACTGGATGAGTAGCTCGTCAGCCATAACGATGGGCCTTATGTAATTTCGAAATGCGGAGATTGTTTTGAATGAGTTGTTTCATTCTTACCATGAGTTTGGGTTTAGTTTTATTGTGGTTTAAATTTTAAAGGTTGATGTGATAGATTCCTGGCTGAATTTTAAACTTGTTTTTTTGGGGGGAGGGGAGGGGGGGGTGGGTGTTATATCGGCCATTTATTTACTGTCCTTATTTTATTAGAATGTAGAGCGATTTTTGGTCTTGGCAAGCAGTTTAGCATAATTGGTATGGACTAGTTTGCAACGTCCTCCAAGAAGATCCTAGCCATTATTGTCGAGCTGATAATAGATTAATGACATTTTTCAGAGAACCTTCCGTAAAACTTGTCATTAGTCGACAGTAGTTTAACCCTATAACTAGAAAATAATGGCTGATATCTCCTCAGGTTCAAAGATTCATTTAAGGAGTAATTTGAAATTTCCCTGCAGACATCGGTAGTCCATCACTGCTTATTAATTCGCTTTAATATTGTTGCAATGACATAAACACGATCTAAAGTCATGCTACACTTATGAACATACTCTAGAGCACAAATGTCCGTATTAACAATGATATATCGAGTTTCCCCCTTAGCTACCCTACCTTAAAAAGCCCTAAATCCCACCCATTAACAACCAATAAGCACCAACATACTCCACAACATGATAACATCATTAAAAATCCCTTCAAACTGCTATTATCGCTAAATAATTCCCAATAACCTCAAAAATTCATCTAACAGCAATCATGAAATGCATGAACATGATTGTGAAGAGGCATTATAGTAACATTGTAAATTACACAGCACACAAGATATTCTGAATCAATTTTAATGGGTTTTTATTCCTTACAATTGCTAAATTTCATCAACACCTTCTTTTATTTTACTTCCATCTCAACAGCCACAATTTTTAAACAACGATAGTTTCAACAATTTATTGTAAATGATTATTATATATCTATCAATTTGTAGCTCACCTTTTGCCCATCCCGTTAAAACATTGCCAAGATAAAGCACTTTATATTCTGGATCAGGCGGACTTATTTCAACACTACTATGATTCCGCCTTAGTAATTTACCCAAGCCTTTTGTTATGCTTTTAATTGCATTCTTATTCACAGGCTTTTCCATCGGTGAACTACCCAACTCCAAACTGAGGTTCGATGTACTTGTACTTAAATTAACATTATGTTCACTTATTCTTAACACAAACTCGTCGTCACTTTCATTTGAACGATTTGAAAACTTTTCTGAAACTGAGTGTGACTTTTTTAATTGTGAATTATTTGCACTATTATTTTGTTCTGATTTTTTGGTATTGTATGTATTGCCGAATAGTCTCGCAATTGATGAGCTTTTTATTAAACGTGGTCGATGATGATCATTTGATGACTTTTCGTTATCATCCGATGACTCTGTCTTCTTTCGCAACGGAAAGTGAAATAAGTTGAGTCGTTCGAGTGCCGATATGTGCGATTTAACGGCCGTCTGTAATTCAACTTCAACTGATGTCTTTTTAGCTTGTGAGGTCTTTGGTGTGGTTTGATTATTATTATTATTATTGTTATTATTTGTGCTGTTACGCATCAAAAATCCCTTCTTGAGGGGATTATAGCTTTTACATGACACGCAAATTTCTTTTTTTGCTGGTGCTGCAGTCGCGTTTGCCGTCGATGTTGGTATAAAATCAACTTCGTCTTTCGACTCCTCCTTATTTTCAACTTTCGAATCCATAATATTCGCGTATATACTTTATGGTGACTCTAAACACTAAACAATCTATTTATTGAGGGCTTCTGCTTGAATTAAAAATCCAAATCACGATGCATAGAGCTGATCGGTGAAAATTTTCCAATCAGTCACTGCTGGTGCGTGTGTGTGTGTGTGTCTGTATTTGTCTCTTGTATTATTTGTTCAATTGGGAATTGGACTGAATTTAATTATACTTTTTATCCATGTCAGCCTTCTTTATTGGTAGAAGTTGGAAAGACTTTTTTTTTTATTTCGTTTAAAGTAGAATTATTCAATTGTAGCTAGTCGCGGGGCTCATAATCCGTTATTCAATTGAACAATTTTCAATGCGACATTGTTGAAATAAAAAATAAAAAAATAAATTTCTTTTGTCTTTTCGTGGTCGCTCGGTGCTCGGTCGTTAAGCTGAACTCATTTCTTTTATTGCATTTGCATTTCGGTGGACAATTTTTTGTGGCTGTATTTTTTTATCGCTAGAAAATCAGTCAATTGGAAAGAATGCCAATTTTTTTGTTTTATAAAACTTAGTGAATATTTCCGGATTTCAAGTTTTTCCTGATTTAGCAATTATTTTTTTTTTACTTCTTGCCTTTTTGTCTTAATTATTATTATTTTGCCTTGATATTTCAGCAGGTAGTACACATATATGTTGTGGCAATTAATATTATTAAACATTAATTTTTTTTTAATATATTTTATTGTTTGTCTTGATGAAACAATTTGCTCATGCTACTGACTGAGTTTCACAAAATAATTTACACCTTTATCTCGATGCTCTTTTGCTTATAGACGGTCTGATGTATGGTTGGTGCGCAATATCTGCAAGTAAAAAAAAGGCATAATTAATTTTTGTTGTATTCATTAAATTAGACTTGTAATTGTAAAGCTATAAATTAATAAGTAATTTTTTTATATGTTGAACATGCGTAATGAGTGCTCTTTTGTTGCTCGCGTCCACAGTAGTAAGTACACAATTGGAATGTAAATTGTTATAATGAGCATATAATGTGTATTATTAGTTCACATTTTTCATCAATTTTGAACGTGTGAAGTGATTGTAATTGAATATATATTGGACAGATATTGAGAATTGTGATTAGTATTGTTCGGTAATGAGGGTGCTGACATGTGAAAATTTTTTGATTGGATAGTGTTATAGATATGATCTTATATTTGGGTGTTGCCAGAATATTCGGAATTCTGATTCAAAAGAGCATTTTGGTATTTTATGCTGGAATAACACTAGCAATTAAGCAGCAGTTTAGGGCCTTGCTGGTCGAAAAGATAAAGCGCTTGATTCAAATTTCTAATGGTAACTCGAAAGTCGTCGGTTCGAATCCTACCATTTCCAAATTTGTTCTTTTTCTGAAGTTTCGATGCTTCGACTGCTTAATGTACGAGATCAAGCCATAATTGGGCAACTTTTGATTAAGGAACGGATCAGGAACTTGAAGTGTAGCAAGAGAGAAGGAAACGAAAGCTACAAGATAACCCTATAATGGAGTATTTCGCACAATTGTTCAATTCCCACTGATCGGATCTGATTCCCAAAGATAAAGTAATGTCAAATTTTAATATTTCAAGCTCATAGGTTGTTCATTAATAATCGATTTCTGTTACAGATTTTTCAATTCTTTTTGAACTAAGACAACATTTAGGAACGTCTTTTTATATTCAATCTTATAAAACATCTAAATCACATTAGATTCCAGTCTAAGGTCAAGTTTGCCAAAAAATCTCATACCCAAATCATATGAAGACGAATTTCCGAGGTAGTAGAAAAATATATTCAAAATTAATAGTCCATAAATCCTGCAAAAATTCAGATTTATAACATCGATAGCCATAAACAGCATTTAAAATTTAATTCAATTCATATTTCCTCTAAATGAGTTGCTCTGGAATTTTTAAATAATATAAAAGAATAATTTGCAATGTTAAGCATGTGGGACCATTAAGAAGTACGGAGCCGTATGGCGTAATTTACGACATGACTCTTAAAAAATTTCATACGCAAAAATATCAGTTAGAAATAATTGACACAAGTCTAGCATTACAACTGAGTCATTTACCCCAATTTTCTGGTATGACGCGAGATAATTTTGAGATTTTATCATTAATAATTGTACAAGTTTTTTAGAAGAATGGGTGAAGCGAGTCATGAGTGGACAATCATGCAATTATGTCTATAAGCACGCCCAAAAATGCGTGAATTTCGAACTAGAATCATAAAAAATCACGTCAATGTCAAAAGAATTATTTGGTAAATATCAAATTTCCCTATTATGGTCAACAATTTTTGTGTGGATTATTAAGATTTTTTTTTATTACATCTGCTCCATTTTCTGAACTTCTAAAGATCAATAAAATAATGATCAAAGTAATTTTTTATTAATAAATAATTCAACACCTCGTCGTGAACAAGCTTAGAGATTTAAATTGCAACACGTTTTTCAACAAAATCGATTTTTTTTCTGTGATTTTTTTCTTTATTTTTAGCAAATTTTCAAATCTTTATTATTTTTTGTGTTTTACGTCATCAGTACTGGTAGATTTGTACAGCACTTGGTCGTTAATTTTGTATTATAGTGCGAATAAATATTACAAAGAATAATGTAGGAATAAGAAGAGGAATAGTCATGAGATATTCAAAGACTTGAGCGCATTATGGATTTTGAAATTATATTTATGAAGTTTTGGAGTTGCTTAATTTTGAAAAGGTATTGATAATAGTTTTTTATAGACTTAGGAACAACTTACTTTGCTTAAAGTAAATTAAAAAGCATCATTACTAGCTTTTTATTATGATCTGTATTGGCTGTACAGACTAAAGGTTTAGTAACTTGATTAATTTAAATTATTTTAATATTCCAACCCAAATATTCTAAGTTTGAATCTCAGTAATGTCAAACTATTATTTTTTGAGCTATAACTATTGAAAGTAAAGAATATGGTTCTCTTAATTAGATTAGGAAATTATTCTAGGTTAGGAAATACACCTAGTCACAAACACTTTGTTTTGGCTTCGATTTAAATCTAGCGCCATACCAGAGTCATACCTGCTTGGTGCCAGATTTCTGATCAATTCACCTACTTGTGCTATTCGGGATCTTCACCTTTAGCTGCAATATCTAGCAGTCTGCTCAAGTTTTGTATGGAAAAGTCGATTCTATTTCATTCTAAATCTGAATCAATTTGGAGCAAGCTCTGCTAGCTTCCCTTAATTAGCAGTTCTGAGTATGTTTTAAAACTTTTGATTATCTTAAATCAGTTTATCAAATTAAAAATTATTCATTTTAAAAAATCCCACAAACAAGGAAGACATTAAAGCCGTCAAACATCAAAAAAGAACATATTAAACTCATTTAATTAAATATGCCAATATCAAGATCACCCAAAATGCTACAAGTTAGCCATCTGTTGCCCGAAAACTACCAAAATCAATAAAAATTCAATAACTACCTTATTGCCAAAAAAAAAAAAAAATCATGTGAGCTGTAAGGTAGTTCTTTCTTCCTTATGTTTACATAAAAAATTCTTTACTGCATGCCAAGTCTTTTGTTATTTTTTTTTTAACACGACCATAATTACGAGTTTGACTTTTGATAATTACAAATTTAAATATTTTTTGTGCTAGCAACTCAACAATTCTCTTTTTGTTGCTTTATAATCCTGTTTATTTTATAAATACAAGCAATATTCTCGTTCTGAAGAATCTGAGTCCAGCGTTTGGCGTTTTTTTTAACCTTTGAAAAGTAAAGTCATCGAGTACAAAGCAATTATTTCTCTTTTCATGGTAACAATAGTAATTGTGTTGGATCAATTATCGGAGATTTCACAAAATAGTCAAAATAATTCTCAACGATATAAAAATATAAACTTTTTTTTTCGTTATAATTGTAATGATCCAAAGCACATAAAAAGAAAAAGCCAGTACAAGTACAACTTACAAATTGCCATCTATCGAAATGTATACGATTTTTTTTTTTTGTTGCGAAAGATCAAGTCAGATATAAAAAGACATCGTAATGCAATATGATTCGAATCATTAACTGGCTGGGAGGAGGTTTTTTTATTGTGCACTTTTTTTCGCGCGGGAAACTATGGAATTATTTCGATCATTTTGGAGGGCTTGTAGGAGGAACTGTCAAAATGATTTCGGATTTAGAATAATTGAAGTATGTTCTTGCCACTTTGTAGGCTTTGAATATGTTAGAATTAATTTTTGATTGAGGTCGATGCTTAAAATAAATTGAAAATAAAACTCGAGGTGGGAGGGAAATTTCTGAACATAATTGACCTTGGATTGTGCAATAAATTATTTCAAATTTTTTAAAAACCGTTAAAAATTAACCAAAGCATTTTAGGTTGAAATTCAAAAACTTTCAATTTTTTAACATCCGTTAAAAATGCGCTGTAACCTCTGAACCCCTGACACCACACATTTCTCTAAATAGCAATTGCACATATTTTTTTGCTTTAATTCATTAATTCGCTTGTTGTTAAGTTGAAAACCATTTTCTCTCCATTATGTTCATATTGTGTCGCACCACAATGAATATTACATTACATTCCATTCCATAATGCGTAGATTGGAATTTTAAACTTGAGTCAATTTCATTTTTTTAACTTTAGTTTGTGCAGTCGAGAGACAAAAAAAGTGTGAAGGTTGCTACATTTATGGTAATTCTTCATAATGTTCAATAAATATAGACTGACTTATGAGGTCTGTGGAATGTATTTAAAGTCATTAATTAATGAGCACATTTAATCAGTCGAGCATTAAAAAAACCTCAAGAATATAAACTTTTAGACTGTTCTATAAAGTGCAGAACAACAGCAGCGAAAAGAGTTTCAAGGAAAACAGCATATCATTCACTACGCAAAGAGCTGTGTTTAATGTGACAGTAAAAAAACTACAAAAGTATCAACATGAGGAGTGTCAATAGCATGTGAGCAGCAACGTGAGCGTCTGATGCTGATGATCTGTTGAAATGTTAATGCTTGAAGGTATTGGCGCTACAAATAACTTTTTCTGACCAAAAATAGAAAATGAAGAAGATAGTTAAACCAACGCAGAAGCTTAAAGGCCACCAGTAAGCGTGAAAAAAATTTCCAAAACCATCACGAGTTTATCGTGCGATATCGTGCTGCTTAAAAATGGAGGAAATTTCTATTTTTATGGTATCTTATCATGTCTACTTTTAATTGATGAGTAGCACTTACACAGTCAACTTAGCACATGAATAAAGCTCCTTAACTTCTTTAATTAAAAGTTAATTGAAATATTCAATATAAAAAATTTGCAATTTTAATTTAAAGTTGTCTAGCTAGACATCATTTACGTCATAAGCAGCACTAATTGATTTAAATAAAATAAATGCATATTTTAATCTCAGTTCTAATCTTCAACGGCTTTTTAATGCGATGATTTTGCTCGCTTTTGTTTGTTTTCTTTTCTGATTGAGTGAAATTTTTTTGAAATCAATTTTTGAACTACTTCTTATGGTTTAAATGGCTTAAAAGCTTGTGATCTTGTTTGCTCACTTATCAGATTGAAATTTCTTCAATTACATTGGTGAATTATTGAGTATTTTTAGAGATTTTGTAGGTTAAAAACTCGAGGTGGAAGGTCTATGAGAAAATGAAAATTTCAATCCAATATCAATGATGGAACGTTTGAATTTAAAATTGTCGTTATTTTTACAAAAATTAACAATATTTTCAACAAACAAAGTTTAATCCCACGTCAATCATCAAGATTGATATCTTAAAAATATCCGTTAATCAAGCAACTAAAATATTTAATCGCATGAATTCGCCAATTCTCTAGAATGTCTTTATTACATTGTTTGCACCAATCATCAACACAATTACATTCTCAAGTGACTTTATCGCTAGAGAATATCGCAAAAAATATTCCACGAAATCGAGTCTCTTTATTGAGCGACATAACTTGATTACAGTTCAACTTAGAACGACAAGTGCGGAAGTGCCTTGAACAAAAAATAAAACTTAAACGATTACATTGCTATTTTTCATTTTGCTTGCCGATGCACGATCTATGATCAAATAAATAATTCTTTGTCATTGCCCAGTGTTTCTAATGAATACAACTCTATTATTGCAATTGAGTCGCTAAATATTGTGTTGAAAATATAAATCTTGCTGAAAAACTGGCTGAAGAATTGTGAATTATGACACGTAAAGGCATCTTTATGAAGACTTAAAGACAATGGAAGGTAAATATTTCCGCTTCCATTGCTTGATTTTTCGCACATCGTTTCTCCACATTTATTATTAAAAAAATTTTGGTTCCGCAAACTTCATTCCCAGCCACACCGAAAATGTGAAAGACGAGCTCCTCGCAAACGTGTTGGAATGCTAAAACAATTGGCATTAAGCAGTAAGTTTTTCGTATTTTGTAATTGGATCGTCGATAGGGGTCGTTTCTAAGCGATGTGTATTGAACGTTTGATTTTTAGACCCTGGACCTCACACAATCCCTCACAAAGCATGATGTATGAAGTGATGCACACCTTCCTTTCTTCCCCTAAATGTTGGCATCACAGCTGAATGAACCCCATAATAATAATGAATTTCTCGGTAAAATTACAAACTTGCAATCATGTCACCAACTGTAAATCCAAACAAATCGCGATGAATTCTTTCATTCATAATTTTTCAGTTCTTCTTCTTGCTTCATATTTCTCGCTTATTTGTTTTTTCGCGCATCGTTGAAACTGAAAAAAATCCAAGAACCATGCAAAGAATCGACCCGGTTTATACATTAAACTTTGACGGTTCCAGCCTCATTCACTCATTGCATGAAAAATTGTGTGAATGAAGGAAAAAGTGTGACTCTATATGAGATCTCTCGACGAATGCACCCATCTTTATTAAATATTTTTTCATCATCATTAAAACAAATCGAAATATTCATCATGTCCATCAATCATGTAGACTGGGACGCAGCAAGAGAATAATTCATTAAATGAATTCAATTCGTACGACAATCACGAAATAATATTTATCATATGAGAGACCAATAGACTCACAGTTCATAATACATTTATTATTATTATTGTTCATGAATCACGGAGAGTCCAATGCAATGTGCTCAAAAAGCGAGAGACAATCGATTCTTCGTTTTTTTTTCCTTTCATTATTAATTAACTCAATAGTAATGTATGGAATTGGTGTTTCGATCCATCAAAATTCATATCGTGCATGGTCTTCATCGAATTTATGAACGTTTATTGTATAAATGGACGATTGTTTTTGACGAATGAATGAAATCATATGGAATGAAATTTTCCATTGAGACTGAAATGATTATGTTCACTTATGACGTCCGGGGGTGGGGGGTCGGGGTGGAAAGCTCAGCAAGAAAGGAACAATAGAAATTCATTTTTTTTTTTGAAAAATGACCGTTAATTTCGGACCTCATGAGTGAACCACCCTTAGTGAAATTTCTTGAATTTTTCCAAATGATCCATCAAAAAATTACCAAAAAATTTAAGCAACTATTAGATAGATCTTGAATAAGCACTTAAATGACATAGACTATTCACAAAACACAACAATACATCCCATATCTCCAAAATGCCATTAACAAAACCACTTCAAATGCCTCAAAACACTGATTGACACATTAATTCATGACTGACCTCGAATCAGCCCTTCAAACATTTAAATTATCTACAAAAAGTCGTTAATTTTCCTCCAACAAACGACTTTTCTCACCAGCTTGACCAGTTTAGCTTCCTTTCTATCAGAATATTGATCTCTAAGTCCAACAATGTAACATTCACAATTCAATCCCGTGTCAATGGAACGTGATGTCACTCAACACAAAAAACCTTTCAAGTTTGTTGCCAATCGATCATCAACACCAGTCAACAATACATAAACACATAGTCTTAAAAATCCGCTAAAAGCCATTCATTGTCCATTAAAAATGGCAACATTGCTATTCATACCAAATGTTATGTTTCTATCAATTACATACTCAATACTTCCATCATCATCCATCGATGATGATCACATGTGTGGTAAGTGAAAAGAAACTGTAAAGTTCTTTGATGCATCATTAATAATTATACACGATCTATCACGGTTTTTTTTTTTGCTTCACATTTTGCATTATTTTAATGTCTGAATTCCGCTATGGCTGCTGCAATCAGTCTCTCTTTCTTACTCCGCGTACCTTTCACCGCATGTACTATAGCATTATTATCAATAATCGACAAAATTAACTCAAATGACGGTACGGAGCGGAAGAATGAGAAGAGGAAAAAAATTGCCATTAGAAAAACCGTTGGATTAGCTTTGGGGGGGAGTTTGTAAGTTTTGTCTACTTCCTTTTAAGACTATCTAAATTCTAAAATCTGGTCAATAATTTGCATGCAATTAATTGAACCCCTTTGGACCCCTCGATTCTATGACTTCATTTATGATCAACCCCAATTATTCTATGCTCATAAACAACATTTTTAACGTTTTTGATAACGACAATAACAACAACAATCAGCATTAAGACACTAAGTTGAATGTCATGAAAGTATTCTTACTGCTTAGGTGGCTCGAAGGCGTGATGATGGTCGTAATACTTAATAAAAAGAAATATATATGTCAGGAGTAAAAGAACCTTGAATACATCATTACATGCCAATAATGCTTAACTTAATGTGCCTTTCATTCATAACTTTTATAGGCAATCAATGCGAATGCAATAATATAGATGCTTTAGAGATTCATTCGGGAAAGAGAGAGAAAATGAGAAATGCCTTATTACCTTTTACAACTCTTTTTCTTAATACTTAATACATTGCCTTCTCCTTTGAGAATTAGTCACGGCATTCGACAATGAATTGGAATGGAAATGGGAAATTGAATGAGAAATTCGTAATGAAGTCATTTTGGAGTTTGATGGCTTTATGGCGCGCTTTTGAATTAGGGATTGTAAGACCTATATGAGGTCATTCACTTTGGCATCTAATATTCAAAACGATGAGTCAGGGTGGGGTATCTAGGACTGTCTAGGAAGTATTAAAACAATCAGACATTCTAATATTCCATTGTCTTGCTAATCAGCAATAATTTCCATTTCAAAACTCATAAACGTTCAAATTTATTAACAAGCTTCACTTCCGTTTCACTATTCAAATTAGCAATCCATGTCATATACAAGCTGTTCAAGTCTGGGAAATTTTTACGAATTTTTTGTCACTAATGACAGCTGACAAGATCATGTAATCCATATATAGCCATTTAACGAATTTCTAAGGTCAATATTGATATGAGTGGATGACTTATCTAGTTCAGTCGAAGATAATGGGATGATGTATTGGATTTCTATTTAATTGTCATATTATAGTCGATGGAGTAAGTGCTTATCATGGCATGGAATCATGATATTGTGTATCTGAGCTGATAGAGCAGACATGATCGAGTTATTATGGGTCATGCGCATATGATGTCCAAGATTTAGTGGAAATGGGAATGATAAACACTCCTAAACTTAGCAGGGAGTCTGAAATTTATTTTTAGAGACCTAATAGCTTCACAATCCATTCAACAAATTCCAATAATTCAAAAACTCAATAAAATAAATAAAATTCCATCCCACCTATGAGAGACGTATCAATTTCCCGACTCCAACATTTCCGAAAAGCACTTCCATGTAGGATGAACAAACTATATCCCAATGTCTGTAAACAAGATCTTATTTTTCGATTTCGAAGGATCTTATTTTTCGAACGCGGGAAAAAAATTTGAATTCATAATGTTCGTTATGAAAATTTGTTTACATTTTCAATTCAAAAATTCGAAATTTTTTAAAATGGTTAAAATTTGTGCAGTTCAAAGCTGTAAAGGAAGAGGAAATAGCAACATCCCCATATTTGAACTTCCAGAGAGTTCGATACATCGAGGAAAATGGATCGACTATTTAAAATATCATGAAATTCAATATATTCAGTCAAAAAAGTATTTTTTGTGCGTTCTTCATTTTTGTCACTCTATGGTAAATAGGAATGCAAAGAGAGTACGATTAAATGCGGATGCATTTCCATCTCTTGTAAGTATATACAAAAAATGTTATTTCAAGGAAACTATCGATAAGCTTATTAAAGCATTTGTTGAATTCAGGAAGAAGTTACAGTATCAGGGTCGCTTTATGCATAAAAGAAATGAATTTGCCTCAAAAAATAATCAAATTTTAAAGTTAATAAATATTTTAATGATTTCCAAAATTACTAACGTATTTTTAATTTTCAAATATGACAAAATTACTAACGTATATTTGTTTTTTAAAATTGATCGTTTACGAATTTTTTCAAAATTTTCGAAAGCCAACTGATATTTATTCTGTTTACAGACATTGGACTATATCCAATGTCGCACTATTTTTTGTAAAAATTTCGTTTTTAAATGAATTTAATTTTGGCATTTTTGATTGATTTCCTTCATCATTTATCAGCCTAAATACCACCGTCAAATATAATCACAAGAAATCAACCGCATTGATGACAAATTAACAATTCCAGCGCTTTTTTGGCGAAAATTTTTCATTATTCATGTTTGACATATTTGGGATTGGCATCATTTCGATGTATTTGATGTCCGAAAATGAATTGAATTAGGTTGAAAGTGTCATTGTGTTGTGGATGAAATTTCATATTTCATGTACGAGAAAGCATAAGCGTCCATCTTCATTCGCTGCTCATCAATAAACTTTATTTGTCATGTTTGTCTGTTTATTTACTTGCTTTGGCAATCAGACAGTGCCTTTTCTTTTCATACACAAAAAATAATATTTTGTCAACAAAAAATAAATATTTTTAAGCTGTTTTTGGACAATCCAAAAATATTGTCTTTATGGAAATGAATTTGCTTCAAGCAAGAAGTCAATAAGAAGTGGGTTCAAAAAGTTTAATAAATCTTCCGTGTAGTTCAAGCGCTTTTAACAACAAACTTCAAGCAATTTTAACAATTAATTGAATTTTGAATTTTTAACGGGATTTGGAAATTCAAATTTTTACCAATATTTGAATTTAATTTTCAACGGTTTTACAAAATTTAAATATTCAAAAAAAATTTTGAATTTAAATTTTTTTAAAAAATTTTCAAATTCAAATTTTTAACGATTCTTTTTTATTTGAATTTTTAACGGTTATGCAAAATTCAAAATTTTATATAAATTAATCATTAATCCAGTAATTCAATTAAATCGAGCTTAATATTTTAACTAAGCATGATATCTACTAGTTTCTATCTCATGACATACCCAACCAGCCAACCAAACAAACAAAGTCTAGCCAACTTATTGCAACAATCCACATAAACAATTTCAAAATGCAAATTGAAAACCTGTTGCGGATCTGCGAGAAGAGCAGCAAAAAAATTAATTTTATTATAGAATCGAATAAATTGAAATCCATGTATGTATGGTAAAGTGAACGTTTAGTAGAATTTATGATATGTTTCAAGTTGCCTTGACCACATAATTCTACATCAATATACATGATACATTCAGTGGAAAACAAAGTGAACTATAAAGTATATTTGCTTTTTAAAGTGCAGTTTTTGCTAAGGCGAAAAACATTTTTACTGTGCATATTGAACTAGTTGTGCGGCTGACTTGTTTACTAGTTTCATTTGCGGCTGTTGTTCATCAACAAATCATTAATTAATTGACTCTCGGATTCTACCAGTTATGATATGAATAACTGTCAAATGATTGGAAGAACAAGCATTCAAGGTCGAACTGATTTGGATGATGAGAAATTTTTTTGTTGATTTGAACGTGATTTTTTTATTTGATTTGATAGTGAAAAGCTGATGGAAGTTTTTTTGAGAAATTTTGTTTTCATTTTGTAGGAATATCCAATCTTATTTTCATTAGGACATGACTGGAATTTGATATTTTTGAAGTGGATAATCGGTCTGAAATGAGAGTAGCTATTTCGCATTGAGCCAGTTGTGTATGAAATTGAATTAACCCTTCTTCTGCTGTCAATTTGTATCTCGATATAGCTTTGTAGATGAAAAACACATGAAATTTTCGCTATGACAATCTTCAGAGATTGTAATGAACCTCCTAAGAAATAAAGAGAATAATAACTATGCACTTAAGGGGACACAGCTAGGAAAGAGGGGTACATAAGTATGAAAGAGGGGTACTCAACCAAGAAAGAGGAATTCTAATTATGAATGGGGTAAACAACTAGGAAAGACGGTACTCAACTATCAAAGAGGGTACACAACTATGAAAGAGGGGTACACAACTATGAAAGAGGGGTACACAACTAAAAAAACTGGTGCACAACTATGAAAATGTGGTGCACAACCAAGAAAAATGGGTACACAACAAAGTGAATAGAGACATACAACTATGAAAAAGGGGGGTTACACCTACGGAAAATAGGGGTATGCAACTATGAAAACTGGAAAGCAACAAGATCAAGTCGCTAAGATAATTCAATTTAAAATAACCCTTAATACCCCTCATTCAGTAATCAATATTCAAAACTATTAAACTCATACAAATTCCATCAACAAGAAGAAGATCAAAGTAAACATTCCACATCAAGAAAATACACCTACAGCCACATACACAAGCTCATTCTCCACAGATAAGCGATGCAACACTTTCACTTTCCCGTTCAGCTCATCCATACTCAAGTATGTAAGTAAACGCTTCATTCATGATCTCGTTAATAACTCTTCCACTTGAAATATTCTACTTGGAAGTTGCTTATTTATTTCTGTTGTACCTTTCATAATAAGATACGTTTTGGAATTACGAAATATCTCCATAAAATAATATCATGTGATTCTGCTGTAAATATATAGCTACATATTGATGGAATTGCCGCTGTAGAATTAAATTAAAAAGAATATGTAGTAACACAGCATAGTAGCTGTAGCTTTTTGGTCAAGGGAAGCAATTTATTTATTGTGTGCAATTGATGATAAATTGGACAAAATTGCAATTTTGTAACTTAACAATAAATCATTATATTCCATGTAAGATACTTCCATTTATGAG